GACAACGTGACAGAATAATGTGTGTGTAGGTAATGAGTAATTGAACTGCAGTCAGAGACGTATTGTTGAAGTTAACGTTCGTTGTTATAGCGTTTGTTTTAGCGCGATTGTTGAAATTAAGTGTATCGTAAAGTTATATTCGGAAAGAATAAACCAGTTTTATTAAATAAGGACTTGTGTCGCTAAAGTTTCGTCGGAACGAAGTTACGGAAAATTAATTAACAAACGGAGACGTAACAATGGGAATAACAAATGCTCTCTTCTAACTCAGCTACTATGTGAAGCCAGATGTGCAAACTGTACAACATATGTGTGGAGCTCAATCTTTTTCTTGGTCACCAATCTAACACCGTAAATAGTGGTAGCAAGCTACCTTTATATTGTGTGTGATGTGGCAAGGTGAATAGTTTGTTCACTATTCCACCCATTCACTCTAGAAATTATTTCAAACTCAGTCTAATATGCTTCCCATGTAACCTTCCTATCATATTCCATTTGCTTCTCAGTTGGGTGATGTTGAACTTTTATTTTTATATATATTTTTCTAATTTTCTGCCTAGTTCTTCTTGTTTTCTTTTTAATTTTCGATCTATCTCTCTTATGGACATTCTTTTAACTGTTTCATTATTTCCACCATAGTTTTCTTCTTGCTTTGTGATCATGTTGCCATCTTGAATGTTAAAGTTTAGTCAAGTTCTGTTTTACTTTCATCAAAATAACGCCAATTTTGATATCAATATTGTATTTTGAAGTACATGGTAAAAATGATGTCCAGGTAACGATAATTAATTAGTTTGTTACATGCTATGTTTACTTGTAGGTCTTATGTCAAACAATGTTTCAAATAACGTTTCACAGAACTTCCGAAACTAAGGAATGTCTAACTCACAAATATCCAAACTTACTTGCAGAATTTCAATCACATCTACACTAATTCTCAGTGTCAAACTGGTACCTTTCTAACTCAGTCATTGATTCTCGTATTTATAACGTACTCTTATTTCTGGATTCTTAACTAATAAAGTTTCTGAATATTGTGTCTTGCATCCTCTAGAAAAAAACCACTAAATTAAAATATTAAACATTTATCTTAAAAAAATATGGCGTGTTGAACGAGCTAACTTGTTGTACCTTGCCTGGCCTTGGTAGCTTAGCGATTATCGTGCTCAAACTTTGATTCTGTGAATTCATGGTCCACAGCCAGTTGCCGCAGAAACGTGCTCCGAGTTGTGAAACCTACTAGTTTATCAAACAAGATTCAGCAGTGGGTGCTTTGATTATCTAGAAGTCTCGCATCTTATCTTATCAGTTCAAAATTAGGTACGGCTATGCGCAGAGAGCAATTTTGTTCGAAAAATTCAGAAACCAGAAAAGAAAAAAAGAAAAGAACCTTGGTGTTCAGTCTAACTCAACTAATTTATCTGATAATTTGGTCCAAGTTGTTACTCTCTTTAGATGAGATGGTCAAGAATGTTGCTTATTGTTTTCTGGAGAACTTGTATTCATCAAACAGTGCCTTTAGTTGCGTCCACACTGGACGTGGGCTACAAGCATAGTGTCTGTCCACAGCAGACGCGAGCTGGAAGCAATCTAAAAGACTAAAAACAATCGCACGACCTGACTGGCCCATGTGTGGCTGTGTGATTCCGCGCATTTCTGGTGTCAACTCCAAATGTATGCACTGGAGATGAGCTATCCGATTCTATTATGGAATCAACTTACCTCAATCTCAATTCTGTTTTAAAATAATGTTATTATTTACAAGTTTATTCTTTGATCCTTTTTATTTATTAAGATTTTATTATTAAAAAATATTTTTGCTGCGCACGGAATTAAGCAACAATATTCACTTTTGTAAAGATTTTATGCTTAATTTACACCTTAATGTATTTCAGTTTAAGGAGAACTTAAAACACTATTTAATTAAGGTGTCCTAGTGACTATGGAGCCATATATTGATCCTCCCTTTTATTCATCATAGAAATAAGGAAAATAGTTTTTGGTTTCAAGAGTTTTGTTTGTTTGAAGTTAAGCACAAAGCTACACAATTGGCTATCTGTGCTCTGCCCACCACGGGTATCGAAACCCTGTTTCTGGCGTTGTAAGTCCGTAAACATACTGCTGTGCAACTGGGGGGGGGGCAGTTTCAAGAAGCTCTAAGAAAGCCTGCGATGTTCATAGAAAACGTGGCGTGATACTAGTCACGTGACCTCGCTGACGCAACAGTGTTTACTTTGTTCTTATACAACATTTCCTAAAACCATTTTTCATCATCTATGATGCAAGTGTTTCCATAATTTTAGTTGTGTCAAGGGTGTCAATCGTACTTCTAATTGGTCAGTTTTATTGGAGCCCTGCCACAATAAAAAAAGGGGGGGGGGTTCTATTTCAGCGGCGCGGCAAACCCTTTAAACCAATTGGTGTTGATGCTCCTATGCATTCAGTTGTGCGGTAACCGACCGCTTTGCTCGAGTCATGTGTGGATGGTTACTTTGTTATAATTGTCATACGATACAAAGGTACAGCCAATTTCTATTAATTCAGTTTACTGCTTGGTCAGTATAAATCAGTGGGTCTTGTTTCTGCTCTAAAGGAAAAAGTTTTGTTTGTGTTCGTCATTGATCTAATTCTAATTATCTTTCAGTTGGCAACAAAATCATGGAGGAATAGTTGCAGCATGAAGTATTTTTTGTTTTTTCGTAATTCTTAATCAGCATATTCATAATAGTGTTTAAAAGGGCATTTAAAATAGTTGATTAGGAGTAAAGTTTTAAGGTATTTGATGCGAGATACTAGACATGTACTTTTAAAGATTAACTACTACTTTTACGTACTACCACTATGGCATAACTATAACTCGTCAAAGAGTCGAGGGCAACTTAATAAAAATGAACAATTCACGTTTCTCATATTGTTTATTGATAAAATAATTTTCACTTGTGCACGTCATATTTATCTTGTATTTTTTTAGGTATTTCATTTAAAAGAAAATCCAAGATCAGAATGCAGTTTGTTCCTTGTTTGTCCTAGGTTGCACCATTGTTTTTTAAACTTCAATTTTCAATGTGCTTATTATTGAGCTGTTGTTGGAGTAGTTTCAGAGTGTATCTACTAAGATGATGCCTGGGATGAGTGGATTGTCATATGAGAAGTTGTGGTATTTTAACATTTTTGTCTGTAATATCTAATGACAAAAAAGGGGCTGTTAGTCCACTGAGGCTATCCATCTAATAAATTAAGCTCTTATCACTTAAATACTTACCAGGCCTTTCTTTAACCTCCCTTAAATTTGCTGTGTCTACCACATGACAAGGCAACTCTTTCGATAGGCCAACCACCCTGTTAGAAAAATAACTTAACTGAAGATGATTCATACCCTGCCAAAATTTATATTTGTGTCCATTTGTCCTATTATTCTGACCACTAAGTATGGAAAAAGATGTACTGACACTGTCAATTCCCTTAACAATCATAAACAACTTAATCGGCTTCTCTCTAACTCATCTTTATCAAAGAGAAAACAGTTTTGAAGATCTTAACCTGTCCTTGTATGACAACCATTTCATCCCTGATATCATTTAAGTAGTTCTTCTTTCAACTCTTTCCAATAATTCAATGTTCTTATCTAGATAAGGCATGGAAGACTGAAAACAATACTTCAAATGAGACCTAACCAGTGATTTATATAGGGAAATTATAAGCTTTTTAGATTAAGAGATGATATTCAATATTTCTATAAATATAACCTAGAATCCTATTTGCCCTATAGTAAACAGTAGCACACTACATGGTTGGCTTAAAAGACTGCTCAACCAAGACTCTGTTCTTCTGTAACACTGTTATAAAGTTATGCATATAATTTAAGGTATGACAACCCATATGCATTACCTTTGTTATAATTAAAAGCTATCTAACATATAATGTAAATCCTTTTATAAACCAGTAGCATCCTCAACACAGCCAGTAACATCCAAGGCTGTAATACTAATATAAAAAATAAATAAAAAGCAAAGGTCCCAAAAATGAGCTTTGAGGCTATTCCACTTGTGACATTAATCCAGTTTGACTGAACTGTGTTTATACGAACTCTCTCTTCTTCCTTCCATCTAGCCATCATTTGATCCAGTGAGCCTACTTATCCCCCCCCTCACTTATAGGGGTAATGTTTTAACAAGCTTTTTGTATGGCACCTTATAAAATACATCCTTACCAGTAGTGAATTAAGAATTATTGGGCATGCACAGCATTGGGGCTACCCACATAACCCGTGTCCCGTAAATCAAAAACTTGTAGTAAAATACACAAAGAAACAGTCTCATGTAACGTATACATACTGCATTAGTAATGTAATATATTATACCTTCCTTAAATGAAACTTTAATTTTGTTACAAAAGAAAAAAAATTTTACTTTAGGAAAAATGTGGAGTAATACACACTGTGTAAATGTGTTTAACAGAAATTAGCTGCAATTAAATATGTAACTAAATATGGAAAAATGCAAACACAAATATCATGAGTATGAATGTCTTACCTTTTGCAGGATCAGTTTTACCATGAGCCTCCCCCCCCCATATTAATCCTACCTCTGACCCTTACCCTCATCTGTATAAATAGTAACCTTTTCAAAGAATGTCGAAAAAATAGTGAAATTATGTTGGCTTCCCAACAAAATTTTTAACATTTTTAAATAACTTTTCAAAGCATTTTTTTTTTATCAGACTTTCAGAAAACTTTCCTACCACTGATGTAAGACTAATAAGCTAATAATAGCTTATAATTACTGGGACATTTTACCACCTTACTTGAAAAGAGGAGTAATATTAGCCAACTTCCAATCATTCGGCACCTGCCTACTATTTAGGGATTTAAAACAAAAGTTAGCAAGTGGATCATATATCCAATCCGTAACCTCTTTCAAATCCCTAGGTCTAGTATTATCAGGTCCAAGATGCTTATCATCCTTTAAAACTTCCAAATTTTTTCTTAAAAAGCTCATAATTAATGTGATCAATTTATTTGATTGTGTTTTCATCTAGCAACTGTTCAGGACAAGGAATATTTCTTAATTCATTAATAAAAACTGAAGAAAAAAAAGTAAATTTAGTATCCAGTCATTTCATAATAATAAGAAACAAGTCTTTCTTTATAAACCTTTAAAGGCACTACTTCCATCCTAATATTTTTCTTACCCTTATTATATTGAAAGAAATCCTTTGTTCATTTTTACACTTTCAGACAACCTTTTTTTCATAAATTCTTTTCAGTTACATATTGTCCCATTTGACCAACTCTTATAATCTTATAAGTCTCTCATCATAGCAGCCAGTGTAAACTTAAATTTATAATTTTTTTCTTGAATTTAATCGCTTTTACTCTTCATGAACCAATCTGGTCTTTACTTGCAGTTACTCTTTTTTTTCTAAAAGAGAAGGATCATGGGTGATCCTTTTGAAGTATTCAAAATACTTGAGAGAATTAATAAGATTGATGCATCAGATATGTCATACTGAATTCTGATGGCAAGTAGAACAAAAGGTCACAAATTTAGAAATATTGGAAACGTTTCCATTTAAGGTTGTTTTTTTTTTCTACACTAGGTTGACAAACCTATCGAACACATTATAATGTAGAGTGGTAGTGGATTTAAGTATCAATGAATCTAAGAAAAGAGTTGATGAACAGTTGGGGAACCAGGGTTGTCTAGTGATTTAATTTTCTGTTTATTGATGGAATTTAGGAGTCAAGACATCATTGATAGACCAAAATACTCCTCGATGTCCCATAAACTTAAGCTGTCTTTAAGCATATATAAAACTGATTACAAGATCATATAATGGAGACCAAAAAAAAGTATAATTTTTTTAAAGATATTTTAAACAGTTAAAAAAATTATTTTTAAAACAAAAGTTTAAGAGATAATTTGTATATAAGATTAATCATTCTTTTGTACAAAACTATTCCAGTGTGAGATAAGCCAAAGATTTATTTTGAAATGCTAAATCAACACTTATTTTTGTGAATCATAACACCAGTTGATTAAGCTAAACAAACTTGAATTAATTGAAAATGATAATGACAAATCATAATGTAAGTATTTTGATTACTTGGATAGTTGGAATAATTGGAAACACTAATTTTACTAATTATTTTAATGACATTAATTGATATAATCATAATTTCAATTAATCAATAATTTTAGATGACACTAATCTATGTAATTTGTACTCATAAGTAATCGAGTTAATTGGCCAGCTCTATGAACAATGAACAAAAAGCTGACTTAGAATATATCTTTGATATAAAGGAAGTATTATACCTGGTGCAGCAGTGCTTACTGACTTAAATCATTCCTATGGTTATAATACTGTTCTTTTACTTTGTACAAATTACAGTATACTGAAGTGGAATGGGAAAGGACAAAAACAAAATCAACACATAAGAAATATTCAGAAAAGTACTGGTAGAATTATTTTTAATGTATGGTATTGTGTTTCCTTAGTTATATTGTTAACAAATGTAAAATGCTTTTTATAGCTTTCTATACAAAATGAAATTAAGAACATTTATTATGATTATGAAAATGACTTTTATAACCAGTTCTTGGACTAAATTTTTTTCTAATAATATAAACAAAATAATTAGGTAATACATTACTGTTGTGTTTTCCAACATTATAAAAAAAAGATAAAATGTAATCAAGTATTTAGAATTTATAAACAGAATAAAACACCAAATGTTAAATTATGAATCCCAAAACACTACAGAGTTTCATTATTTTTGTAAAATGAAATTCATATGTATTCTCTTGTAGGTAAAGAACTTGGAGTATAGATCCTGAGACCCAGTGAACAGCTTTTGAACTGTTAATATTTTGTCATATAAAACTGCAAAACAAAGAGAAGCCAAGAAACAGCAAGCACTTGAATTCATGGTGATTTTTTTAATTTTACAATTTGTGGATTTATACATCTTTTCAAGTTATAACAGACCATAAAATTCAGAGCTGATTATTGTTGGTACAACTGAGGACATTCTAGATTCAAGGAAATGCCTATGTTCATAAAGAGATTCTTTTATGTAAGTACTGAAACTAGTTATGGTAATAGGAAATTGTAACAAAAGTAAACGTTACTATCAGTGTATGTGTAAGTGCTTGTGTTGAAGTGCATGTACCTAACAACTTAATCTATGTATAAACTTGCTGCCTTTAACTTCACATCTCAAGGTCATCTTTATGACTGATAATATATTGAATTAACCTTCCCAAGACAGCTTAGATGTGGTTTCAAGTGTATGGTCATGTTGTGCTCACTGTATTAGTTTTAAACTCTTCTGACAATAGTAAAGCACTATAATTTTTTTGCCTTGTGATATTTTTTAGGTCAGACAACTGGTATCAGTGATGCAACATTCTGTGAGACACCAGTCTGGAAGGTCTTATGTTTTTCTAAGAGACAAAGCATACATAAATGGAAAATGGATAACTTCAAAGAGTGGAAATACATTTCAGGTAAATGCTTTTATGCTAGTTTTTTGGATAGGAATTTCCTTCATATGAATTGACTGTAGTTACTTTCTGTTGCTTGTTATTGTTTACTAAATTTTCAGTGTTTGAATTTGGTTGCTTGCTAGAGGGAGCTGCTGAAATGATGATGATGCTAGATTTAGGAAGTTTATAAGAGTAGCCCTAGATATCTAGAATATTCATGGATGTCAATGATTGAGAGACTTTGCAAAACATCTAGAAACAAGAATACATTATAAATATGAGAATCAATAAAGCATTGAGTTAGTTTTCAGCGTGTTTAGTGATTGAGAAGTTAGTGAAGTATCGGAAAGTGTGCTAGCACTCTCTATGTAGGAATGGCATGGATATTAAAGCAATGCAAAAGTCATCTGGATTTTCTTCTCTACTGGCTTCCCCACTTTGTCTATCGAAAGCTTGGAATAGAATCTCAGCTTCCATCATTATACCTTTCCTTTAGTTAACTTTAGAATACTACTTTTATGACTTTTTTACAAAAGAGTAACATTTTACGATTGGAAATTTTGGTTCTATTTGTTTTGCCAGTGAGGAAGCCAGTAATGTAGGGGTTTTATTCTCCATGTAAAGTCGAGACAGCTTAGTCTGCCACGTGATCCTTAGCCAATCAAGTGATACATCCACTTCCATTACTATCGTATTTGGTTCCTTTTTGCAAGTTCAATAGACAACCCTACATAGCTTTTTTATTTAGCAGTAATTTTTTTTCCTTATGCTTGTTCAGATCAGTATTAAGTATTGCATATATTCAGTTACTCTATTGATTAGCAGTGAAAGTGTACAAGTAAGTATTTGTACATTAGACATAGTTCCGTAAATGAGGAAATTTCTGTTGAAAGTAAAAACGATATTTGTGAACTTTGATCTACAAATACTATTAGCTTGTAGCAAACGTTAAGAAAGAAATAAACTAATTTTTTATAGTCCTTTGGATTTGGATTTTTTTTCTACCAAATAATTTAAAAGAACCTGCCCAATAAAAAAACAGACTTACAACATTAAATTTTATAGATAATCAGTAATTAGTCCAAACACTTATAAAACTTTCAGGGCTCAATCCAGGATTTGTTCGCAGAAACCACATTAACTGTTATTAATAATGTTGAGAAGAATTTCTGGAAATGCTACCTATATAAATGAAATAAAGTTAAACAGTAATAAAAACAATAAATTAGAAATGAGTGACTCATGAGTAATAGATATCTCTTACTTGCTTGCAGTAGATTTAGTACTGAATACCAATAGGTTAGCAGTTTTAGGTTTACCAGTGTTGCTGCCACCATTACTATTGGTTGTATTACTTTTAATGTAATATGTCTAATAACAAGTTTATGCAGTTAATGAATCCTAGTGATGGTAAAAAAGAAAAGGGGTTTTATTGTGCGAATAGTCTTTGTAATATTTTTTAATATTTTTACATATACTTTGAACAGTATTATTTTTATTTTTTCAACTAGCTA